GCAATGAAAAAGGCTGGGTTAGGTCTGGGTAACTATTTAAAAATAACAACATAGATAATTTTTATGGTTTTAAATCAGTCCAGCTTTTGAAAACATCTTTTCGCCAATTCATCTAATATTTCCTACTTTGCATATTAAAATGTATGGTAGGCTTTTACTTATAATTGGCTTTTCCAATAATATAAATCTATTATTTGATATACTCATATCATAATGATTTGAACTAACTTTTTTTTATATTCTGTTATTTTTACATTACCATAAATACATATATTTATTATATGCTTGATCAAATCTTGCTAAACTGTTTTTATAACAATATTAATCATAAAGTTATAACATAAGTGACATGTATGTAAATTTAATTTTTAACATTATTCATAGCAAGTTTTTATACATTAATACGACATTTTGTATATATTTATATTATAAAGAAATAAGTTGGAATTTAAAATTACAAAAAAGGTTAGTTTTGCGTATACATTACTCTGTTGAAAAATTTTACGAACATTAATACATATACAGTCTAAGGACATAATTCGTGAAAAGTGAATGCTCCCCACCAATCAAAAGCGATCACGAAGAATCACGAATCACTGTGAAAAATCACCGTGATTGGGAATGAACGTGATCGAATCACGAGCGATTCAAAAGTAGCAGTTCACGCCATCTCTAATCGTGACATACCAAGACTTCAAGAAGTTCTGGTATCGAATAATGTTCGAAGCGATACGAGTCTGACGTTATAGATTCGAAGCAATCGGTTTAAAGCGTATTACTAAACTTCCATATCTGTCAATACGGGGAAAACAAAAACGTAAATCAGGGGTCGGCAACTCTCTAGAGACATGAACGATATAAGATAAATTAAGTTCCTTAATTTTTGTGTCAATTAGAGTAATCATTCTTAAAACTATTTAGAACAGTGGTAATTAATGGTACTCGAGCCACGTATAATAAAAATTTTTCTTTTGTAGTATACAGGATAGTGTGCAATTTATGGTACAAACGGGATCAGGAAGATTCTATGGCTTAAAATAAAACGAGAATCACAGATAACGAAATTGCGTTGTACATTTGTATTATTCGTGTTGTTTGTGTGCATTTACAAAGTTGTGTTTGAAATTCAATGAAATGTGATTACGTCCATTTGTGTGTATCTGAAGTTCAAATTTCATATTTACCCATACATCTACAGGGTGTTCGGCCAACCCTGGGGAAAATTTTAATGGGGGATTCTAGAGGCCAAAATAAGACGAAAATCAAGAATACCAATTTGTTGATGGAGACTTCGTTAAAAAGTTAGTAACATTTAAAGTCCCGCCCGTACTGAATTTTTTTCTCGAAAATGCGCAGGCTTTCGGGGGTATGTTTATTCATAAAAAATGTTTGTAACTGACCCCCGCAACCGAACAAAATTTTTCCAGAACGATTTGACATTTTTCTTTTTCTCAAAAAATTTAGGCATCTTCTCGAATTTTTTTCTTGAAAATGCCTAGGATTTCGGGGGTATGTGTAATAGCCAAAAATTATTGTAATCGAGCCCTGCAACCGAAAATAATTTTTTCAGAATGATTGGAAATTTTTTAATTTAATTTTTTAATAACTTTTTAACGAAGCCTCAGTCAAGAAATTGATATTCTTGATTTTCGTCTTATTTTGGTCTCCAGAATCTCTCATTACAATTTTTCCCTGGGGTCGCCGAACTTCCTGTATAAGTCATCTTTCGATAAATTGTCTTGGTCGCCCCCGTATACTGCTATCGTAAGTGTAAGACAGTATTGTTGATTTGTAGAACATATGGACCTTTGATTTTCGGACGTAGTACGCGGTTGTATGTCACGAATATTTACATTTTATAAATTCTTTGCCAGTACTGTATTCGGTATTAGTTGTTAATTATATACAAATTGTATACATTTGTAGTATGGTACGTGCAGTGTTTTTGTTAATTCGTGTTGCGTTGAGAGTTCTTAATGTATGAGTTTTGCTACTACGTTGTGTCCGTGTAATCTGTACCGACAATCACTTTGCATGCACTGGCAATGTGTTCAATTATTTCTTTTCCTCGATGGCAGTTTCCGCATGTGTTTTTCTCTATACTGAATAATTATTATTATTATTATCATTACCGTTATTATTGTTACTTTTGTTATTGTTGTCATCAATGTAGACAAATATACTTTACTATTTTATTTTAAATGTCTTTCAATATTATTATTCCTGATTATTTAAGTTACTCGTAATTATTACTATGTTACTTAATGTAGTTGGATTAACCCGCTTAAATAAAAAAAAAACAAACAGTAACCGTCTCTTGTTAGTTACACTTTGGATTATACAACCCGCTCCGAACAGGTTAACACGTTGATCGCCAGACAAAATACGTGAAATGTTTTACGAAGTCAACTTTTTGTGTCTAGATCCTTGGATGCTACTTAATTTCAAATTTGTCGTAGTACTTATTTTTAACAGTTCTGTTACTCGTACATGGACGACGTGGCGATCAACGTGTTACTCTTAGGATCGCTGTCGGCAACCCTCCCCCCAGGGTGATTTGTCACACTGTTGCAAGCGTTCCTCACGCTTTGAATTAACGATACGTAAGTTACTGAATAGCAATCTCACGATCTGTAGATTTTTGTTGCCATCGATCGTCAATCTGTTTTTTTTTTTTAGCGCGCGCTAATTTATAGTCGTCGATATTTCAAATCGCATTGTGTTTCGCGGGGGCGGTGGCGGTGAGCAACGCCGGTCAGTTCTTCCGAATACCCACCTTTGGTGTCTTCCTCTTGAGCTCTTTCTCTCGCAAGGGCGTAGAAAGTACTCACCCTGAAGCAGAATCTTAATCACAAAAATTCTGTAAACTGTATTTCCAAAAGGGCGCGAATCATCCTTTTGATTCGCGAAACGATCTTTTCACTCGTTTGCACGCGCCCTGTAGCGCGCAGCGAATTTAACAATACGAGGGTCGTTCAACAAGTCCTTAGAAGATCCAAGAGCTGGTGCTCGTGGCGTCGAAAACTTTTGTTTTTAGTAAGCATCATGACTCGCTAGACAGCCGCAAAATTTTCAGTTATATCCACCACGCGATTTCATTTTTATTGTCCATCGAGGCAAGAAACTTTTGCTTATTTAGAAAAATGAAGAGAAGTGAGTTTCAAAGTGGACAGAAAAGGAAAGGAAGTGTGGATGCACCACTACACATTAGAGACAAAGGAACAGTCAAAACAATGGGTTTTTGAAGGCGAAGACGGTGAAACCGGCCGGCAAGGTGATGGCCACAGTTTTTTTGGGATGCACGCGGAATCATCTGTACCGATTACTTGGAAAAAGAAAAAACAACAACTGGAGAGTATTATGCGTCCTTATTGCACCGGTTGAGCGAAGAAATCAAGAAAAAACGTCCTCATTTGAAAAATAAAAAGATCCTCTTCCATCAAGACAATGCACGGGTGCACACCTGTGCAGTTTCGATGGCCAAAATCATGGAATTAAAGTTCGAATTATTACAACATTCACCGTACTCACTGGATTTGGCCCCCAGTGACTCTCTTTTATTTCCATATTTTAAAAAATGGCTCGACGGACAACGGTTTACGTCGAACGAGGAGGTCACCGTCCAAACAGGTGCTTATTTTGAGGACCTTTCGAAATCCTACTTTTTAGATGGCTTAAAACAGTTGGAGAATCGATTGGAAAAGTGTATAGAGCTAAAAGATTATTATTATTCATTTGTTAACGGGATTAAACCCTTCGGTACAAAGATGTAATATGTAAGGAACTGCAGATGTGAATCGCTCAGTGAATTTAACAAAAATAAATTAATTTACAATGTGTTGCCAGGATAATTTTAAACTTTCTAATGATTGTTCAATTAAATTCGTTTTAGTGTTTACAAAATTTGCATTACCAATCATTCTATTTACACAATTCTGAGATCCAAACGTTGCGCGGTAACTTTCAGAGCAAAATAGAAAGTGATTTCTTAAACATCTAGATGGCACATACAAAGGAAACAATTGAGTAATCGTTGAACAGGAAATACGACCTTTGATTGGCTTACTCACAAACATAATATCTGCGATTCTTCTTCTACTATGCAGTGTCTGAAGATTAGTATTAATAAGTAAGTCATCATAATTATGTGATTCAAGAGACACGGGACTCCCACTATGCCTAGCAACAAGACGAAGAAATTTCTGTTGAACTCTTTTAATAAGGAGACCAAATTATGCTGCCATATTCTAGAGTAGGTCTCGTCAAAGCACAGTATAAAATTTTAAGTGTATCAGTTTCACTAAAGTATCTGGAAACCTTACGAATAAATCCTAGAGACCAGAGACTTATGTTGAAAAATAAAAAAGAAATCTATCTAAAATAATTTGTTTTTCCATTTTTTTTTTTTCTAAGGACTTATCGAACGACCCTCGTAACAATCGTATCGTCAATACCGTTGTCACGTTTGCAAGCTCGAGCGCCGTGAAGGCGCGGGAGGGGGTGACGATACAATTGTGTTCTCTTTTATTTTCATCGGGTGTTTACTTAGCAGATGTCCTTTCCGCGTTTCGCACCGACGAAGACACGAAAGAACGAAAAAACCAGTCACGGTTCGTCAGACTGCTCGTCGTCGATTCGTGGCGAGAGGGTGGAAATCTCAGGCGAAGTGGCCAGACGATGGACGAAAGAGTCAATAATAGAAATAGATCCGATCGCGTGCGCGTTGGCGACGGTGTCCTTTCGGTTGTATCTGGCCCCGCGAATGCGCCCGCGTACGTGTTGACAGTATGACGCGTACAGCTGTCCAGCGTCGCTGACAGCGTGCACCGGTGGCCGTGTGACATTACCGCGTTATCCGGGAATTACTAGTAAACGGGCGAGATGATAACCCTGATCGTCTGTCACGACACGCGACGACACGCCGCGGCCGGGCCGTAGACGCGACAAGCGACGGAAGAGGACGACCGTGTGTTTACGCCGCGACGAGAGCGACGGGCGGGTGGCGAGAGGCGGGCATGCACGAGGAGCAACCGTTGGGTGGCCAAAAGGTCGCGGCCCCGTCATTGATACGGTCGCGGAGAGAGCGCACTTTGGACCAATTCCTCGGTACGGCTAACACGAATAAACTCGGGGGAACGCGGCGTTGTTACTTCAGTGCTACTTCGGCCACGCACCGCGGCACACTTACACACTGATTGATCGATCGAAACCACTCTCTCTCTCTCTTCTGTTCGTCGGAAGACGCCTGCCTTTCTCTCTCTTCCGCTTCCACTTTTATTTTCTTTCTCCGCCTGTACTCTCGTGCTTATACCCGTTTTTCTTTCGATTCTTTTTCTTTTTCTTTTTCTTTTTCTCCTCTTTTCTATTGTTCTCCGTTCGACGTGTACTTCCGCGTCGCTCGAACCGGACGAGGCGAACGGGAGCCGATCGAAAACGTACCATATTCCCCGTGGTTTTCGCGCGAATAGAACGCGTTCGTTACTCGGAGAACAACGGGCGTGCGAACCCTGAGAGCCAAACGAGATCGAACGACGCGACGGTGTCTTCCCGCGACGCTCGCGCTCAGAGAGACTAGCCCCAGCCGACCCTGTTTCGCGGTACCCCGTCACTTCGGTTTCGCACACACACGTGATCGCACGTGACACACGCGACACGGTTTCGAGGCAGCAGTTGCTGAACCGCGCTGGCCTGCGGAGCGTACAGACCGACAAAGAGAGAGACGGTCGCGGAGTCGCGCGACGCCACCGATCGCCGGTGGTCCTTTTTTTTCCGTGGAACGTCGAACAGCTGATCAGAGAACGTCGAAATGTCTACAGAACCGGGCAGCTTCTCCTCCAACGGAAGCATGATCGTGGTGAGCAACAGGTTGCCGTTCGTGCTGAAGCGGAACGAGGTAACCGGTCAGCTGGAACGCAAGTCGAGGTTAGTACTCCGTCAAGTCGAGGGAGGGGATTGACATTACGGTAATCCCGTTATCAAAGTATCGATCTTTCGTTATTGTTGCATTTTCTTGAAAGGACTTTAAAATTACTGTCGTGAGAAGATCGTCGTGACATTTCAAATATTGCCAATGTCACGGAACTTTGAACCGAGATTTACGCGCGAAACTTCGTCCCTTCGAATATGGAATTTAAGATATACGAATATCGATTGTACGTATCTTCATATCGAAATCCGCCATGTTGAGGGGTTACTTTAAAATACGACGATTCTTTTAACTATTTGCGGAACAGGATTTCAGATAATAAAACAGATCCATGTTTGCATAGAAATTTCATTGTGTTTTAAATTAAACAAAATTGGTATATTTTTATTAATAAAGGCATCGCATAATGTAAAAACATGAAAAAAAAAAAAATAGTAACAGTTCTCGCAATAAACCTTCTGCTTGCAACGATTGATGAACCTGTATTGGCACGTTGAATGTTGCCAACACAAGTGAATACATTTGTAACATTTGTTGAAGATATTACCAACTACTTTTACGTAAATAAGACAAAATACAGGGTGTTCGGCCACCCCTGGGAAAAATTTTAATGGGGGATTCTAGAGGCCGAAATAAGACGAAAATCAAGAATACCAATTTGTTGATGAAGGCTTCGTTAAAAAGTTATTAACAATTAAATTCAAAAATTTCAAATCGTTCTGGAAAAATTACCTTCAGTTGCGGGGTTCAATTACAATCATTTTTGGTGAATAGACATACCCCCGAAATCCTACCCACTTTTTAGAAAAAAATTCGAAAAGGTGTGAAATTTTTGACGGGAAAGAAAAATTTCAAATCGTTCTGGAAAAATTATTTTCAGTTACGGGGGCCAATTACAATCATTTTTGGTGAATAGATATAACCCCGAAATCCTACCCACTTTCTAGAAAAAAATTCGAGGTCGAAATTTTTCGACGGAAAAAAAAAATTTCAAATCGTTTCGGAAAAATTATTTTCTGTTGCAGGGGACAATTACAATCATTTTTGGTGAATAGACATACCCTCGAAATCCTGCGCATTTTCGAGAAAAAAATTCGGTACGGTCGGAACTTTAAACGGTAATAACTTTTTAACGAAGCCTCCATCAACAAATTGGTATTCCTGATTTTTGTCTTATTTTGACCTCTAGAATCCCCCATTAAAATTTTTCCCAGGGTTGGCCGAATACCCTGTATAAGCTTATGCGCATGAAGCTATTGCAATGTTTCAAGGTGGGACTAAAAATGTCCCACCATGCATTACGGTGCATCAAAAAGGTGGGACACTTTTAATCCCAGCGTTCCCCAAAGAGTTGATTAGGATGTATATTGATTACATCCATCAAATTCAACATGGATTGTTAATAATAATATTCATGAGTTCTGCGAATCTAGCGTTGAACGTGAGTTTCGATTAGATTGTACCAGAGATTGGCAACATTCGTCATTTTTATTCGCCCATCGTAAAATATTTAAATCTATGATTAAAATTTGTATCTTCATCTAACGATTAATGGATATCGGTGTTTATCTTCTATTCATTATTCGACGTTTTTATCAAGATAACAACGTTACATTGACTGATAGCTTTCTTTAAGATGTCTTGTTCAGATTGTAAATATACGGTATAAAATATATCGAGAAAAATCGTCTACACGGATACAACACGAACGTTTTTCTTGTTACTTGTTCTTCTTACATACTTACGAACTTTTTACTTCGTAAATTAAGTTTATTTGTATGTAGCTGGACAAATGTATTCGCGATTTATTTACGATCATAAATTACAATCTGAAATATGATTCCCGTCGAAGTATCACATCATTATCATTAGCATGGTACGAGAGAAAAACAAAAATTTGAAAAAAAAACCATTGATGGGTTAATAAATGAGGAATCGATGTCCAAAGATTCTTGATGTTTAAACGTCCCGAAGCAGACTGTTTGTTCAATAAAAAGAGAGAAAACAATTTCTTCAACGAGGTCATCCAAAAAATGTATCAAGAAGCGGTCGATCCCAGAAAACAACAGTCAAGATAGATTCGTTGTTTATCGGTTACAGATGAAAGAAAAACTTTTGTTGATAAATATACGAAAATTGTTCAAGTTGGTAAACTAGATGCGAGTGAATGCAAACCATTCGTCTTCGTTTATCATGTAATCTTCGTGGACAGCGTGACGTTAAGAAACCATTAGTATCTAAAGAAAACAGGAAGACCCGACTTTGGTTTGCACAGGATCGTTTACATTGGACCGCGTTTGATTGAGCAAAAATAGTTTTTAACAATGAAAGTAAGTTTCAATTAAAGCGAAAAAGATTTGATGCCCATTACCAATTTCCCTCTGTTAAATATGGTCGATGTAACAATTTGGGATTCTTTTCCTGAAATTATGGACATAAGTGCAGATTCAAATTCAATCGAACACCTGTGAACCTAGAAGAATTAAAAGATAGAAAAGAATTATTTGAAATATTGCAACGCGTAGTGGCCAAAGTGTTAGTTTAGAAAAAAATTCGAAAACTTTTCGAATCCATACCAAAACGAATGCAAACAGTCAAGCTATTGAGTTTTATATTAATATCGTCCTAATGCTTTTGTTACATTTAAATTTGTTCGAAACTAATGATGGATATAGTTTTTTACTCTACTCCATTAATAATTATTTTTTCTCTGTCTGACGCCACGCAATTTATAGAGTAATATTGCACTACGCGAATGTTTCTTACGCGCTTCCTTTTTTTACAGTTAATTGCTCTGCGTTCGATAACTGCACGGAGATATAAAGATTGTCCCTGAATCATGTTTACGATACGAAGGAAATCCGTCCTTTCACCAATTGAATGTGTTTTCGTGGTAACAGTTTTATTAATCTTTTTCAAACGGTCATTTCAACTCAACAAAACAAAGATGTAAATTGTCGAAGATAAAGTTATTTCAGCGGAGCCTCCTTCTCACTGTTCCGTTTATCTAAAATGAACAAATCGAAAACCATTTTAAAAACTATCAAATAACTACGCTCAATGTTTTACACGCATCATCAGGTGTTCGTCTATTCGTTATTAAAAGTTTTCACGATAGCACTGCTGTTAACAAATGATCTATACGATACGAAATCTTAATCAATACTAAAATAATCTATTCTAAAAATTCCTGTCAAAAACTTTGAATTTCATCCAATTCTCTTGAACTCTCCAATACAATTGCGACGATTTTATCGCGTTCAATTGTCGTTGTCTATCGTGATCTGGAACGCTATGATCATCGTATACATTATAGTTCACAAGTTGTTCAAATTCCGGGATAGTCTCTTTAGCTTCGTAGTATAGTAATAATAATAAACAGCAGAGATAGGAAAAATGTTTATCAGTTTATCTACGATGTTTATTCGATCGAACAGTTACGTTTTGATTTATTCGTAGTGAAATGTGTCATTCTTTGTTCGAAATTTAGCGGGATAAGAATTGTATCGGTCGTCGAAGTGCTAACTGGACTTCGGAGCATCTGCTTTGGTTTTGTCGGTTTTGTTTGAGCGTATCTTTTGTCGCTGGATCCGCGCTAGATTTACGAAAAAGATCGCAGCGCTGGCAAAAGACTCGCGGGATCAGCGAAGTCGACGGCATTCTTCTATATGAATATTCGATTGTTCCATAATTTATTCCGTTGCGTAAACAAGTCGATAGAAATATCCGCGGAGGACGCAGCGAGGCGATACAAGGGGAATACAAAACCTCGTGGATTCTCTTATTTTCGCGATTTCCGTTTTACTTGATACCACTTCGTTGACGTTCACCAGAATCACTTTGCTCGCGTTTACCGGAAATATTTCTCGAGAATTTGCTGATCGATGGCCTATTGTTTATCTGGTAATATCGAATAAATAACAATTTACTCCAGTATGTGTTGAAACAACATTTCTAAAACGATATGATTCTCTATAGATTTTAAAAGCCACTCACGATGCACACGAGCTCGCGAGAATGAGGTTTGTAAATCAGTAATGTTAGAAACTTGTGTTAGCTCTATATTGACTGTACCTTTCAGACAAAATCAGTTTTTCAAAACAAGCGAAATTGAGTTGTATCACTTTTATATTGTCAGAGTTATTGACAATATTCCATTATTTTACCATCCCTTTTACAAAAATTTATTTTGTGTAATACCAATAAAAAAACTGACAAAGCTAATTTCAACGTTAATAAGTAACGAAAGGTAGTGAAAAATATCTTTATTGAAAAAACTTGGAGGCATTAATGGTATTGCAAAAGAGTAGTTCGATTAAAAGTTATTGTTAACCGTATCTTAGAACATTCACAGCCATTGACGTAATTTTACGTAATTTTTAAATCTAGAGCTAGTTGCTGCTGACGTAATTTTACGCCAGTTTCTATTTATGGAGAGGCAGATGACTTTATCATGCCTATTTATAATTGCAATAATTATTTAACAGTGCATTTGTTTTAAGTTCATCAAAGTGGGCGTTCGGATGATCAAATAAATTAGTTTAGTTTTTAAATTAGTTTTTAAAATACACGTGGTCTCGTCCAAAACAATGACAAGCACACGTGTCATTAGTTTGATCATTATTTAAATTGAATTAATTAAATTGATTAAATTGAATTTGAAATTTCGTCTACTTGAGTTTGTAACGTCTAAATTTATTTCAATTTCAAACAATAAGCGAGTACAAGCACGATGTTATAAAGAAATTCGTTCATTTTAATTCCCATTTTAATTAAACAGAATCCTGTGACAAGCACCTGGATATACATTTGAGTAAATTTTAGGTCGCATGGCTACGAAAGTGTTAATAGTCGACGAGCATTGATATTGCAATCCTCGTGTTTATTTATGGTTCGCGAAAAAATAGTACACGATTACACATCGCGAGCTGTTCATCGTCGGAAAATTTGTTACTGTATAGCGCGTCGACGATGTCGAAATTTTTCGTAAGATCAC